ACTGTTGAAGCAGGAAGATATTATGCCACAGAACATGATTTTAGCAAGCCAAAAGTTGAGGACGACCTTGAAAAATTGACTAAGCAGTTTGAACAAATAGCATTAAACCAAGTCAATATTATGTCAGCATTTACAACTAATAATGTTGAAAGAAAGAAACCTAACTTTGAAAGAAACTTCGACAGGAAAGAAGTAATCTGCTTTAGATGTGAAGAAAAAGGACATATCACAAGGAAGTGTCTTTCAGAAAAAGTTATGTCTCAAGAAAGTTGGCGTACAAAGAATAAAGACTCAAACAAAAGAGAAGTGAACATGCTTGAACAAGAAGTTTTTCCAGCAATTAGAAGAAAGAGATCGGAATATCAAAAAGAAACTACAACCAGGAAGACCAGAAGTAAACCAAACGAACCTATGGATATTACTGAAGAAATTCCTGAGACATTAGTCAATAACACTACTATGCCAAGGAGAAGGATACCAAGAGGACCATCAATCTTGGATAATATCGAACCATATAACATTTGGGATGATCTTGTTAATTTAAAAGCAAATGTCAATATTGGACAAATGCTGCAATGCAGAGAACAACAAAGAAAACTTCTTCAAGGAATGAAATGACCAAAATTAGAAGGAAATATGGCACAAACCAATCCTACAGAAGAAGGTAAAAGAAATATGGCATTGAGATGTCATGTTAATATCAAACGAAACTCAGTAATAGCAATCATTGATACTGGAGCAGCAGTTAGCATTATGACGAAAAAACTAATGAAAAAACTTGGGTTGACAATTCAAAAAGCATCACAAGTGATTATTGGTACAGCTAATGGTCAAAGAGAAAGAGCATTAAGAGTAATCAAAAATATACTGTTGATTATTCATGGAATTCTTATTAAAACAACCTTTCAAGTCATCAAATCAACAGATGAAACCTTATTACAAGGAATAGATTGGTGCAAGAAAAATAAAGTTAACGTAAACTTTGACAATAATGAAATGCTTATAACAAGTGGTCTTGACAAAGTTATTGTTCCAATTGCAATGTGTTGTAGGAAATAGAATACCCACTATTGTATTTGATGAAGAAATCGACCAAATGATCGATGAAGAATTAGAATACAATACTGATAATGACGCTGAGAAAAGAAAAGTTATCACATTGAAACTTCAGATTATCAAAGTGATACCAATAATGAAAGTGAAACATTTACTCAATCCTGGGCAGATGAAATGGAAGAATATGAAAGAAGTATCTTACAAGAAGAAGCAAAGGATCCAAAATATGTTTTAAACATTCTGAATGATCAAGATGGCATATTTCTCTCAATCAGAAAAGGAGAAATTATGAAGGGACTATGGCAAACTCCTGGTGGAATAGTAGACAAGGGAGAAATCCCAATGAAAGCAGCAATTAGGGAAACTGAAGAAGAAACAGGATTAATTTTCAAAAGAAAAAGATCTCGAATATTTATTCAATGATCCTGAATTTGATTGCAACGTTAATATTACAAAAGTACCAAAAGATGTAGAATTGGAGAAAATAGAAAAGGACAAAAATAGACCATGGATTCATTTTGACTTCTTGAAATATGAAGATATGGCAAAACAAGAGAAAACCACTCCTACACATACCAATTTTATAGATGAAATTCTAAACAGAATTTTATGGAATACTTTACCATGTAATATTGCAGAAATTATTCAACCTGAAGTTGAAAATGAAAAGTTCACTACGAAACAACAAGAGGAAATTGATAATTTGATCAAAGAAAATGAAAGTAGATTCGTGACCAACATTTCTGAAACAGAGCAATCGACAAAAGTTGGACGAACTAATGTAACCCAACATCGAATTGATACTAAAAATGCTTACCCAATCAGGAGAAATTATTATCGAACTACAAAAGAAGAATAAGATTTCATCGATGGAGAAATTAAAAAGATGTTGAAAGAGAGAATTATTCAAGAATCAGACAGTCCCTGGGCATCTTCAGCTATCCTTATGAAAAAGGCAAACGGCAAAAAATGTCTGTGTATTGATTATAGAGGATTAAACAAACTTACAAGAGAAGATGCATACTCTCTACCAAGAATTGATGAAATACTAGAAAGTTTAAACGGCTCAAAATGGTTCTCTACTTTTGATCTAGCAAGTGGATTTTGGCAAATCAAAATGAATCAAAAGGATAGAGAGAAAACTGCATTTGTTATCAAGGGAGGACATTACGAATTTAATGTTATGCCTTTCGGATTATGTAATGCACCAGCAACCTTTCAGAAAACAATGAACAAAGTATTGAAAGAATATATTGACCAATTTGTGGCAGTATTCGTTGATGACATTAATGTTTATTCAAACAGTTTTGAAGAACATTGCGAACATTTACAAATGCTCTTCGATAAATTAGAAACTGCAAATCTAGTGTTAAACAAAGAGAAATGTGAAATGTTCAAAAGAGAATTATGATTTCTAAAACATAAAATCAATGAACATGGAATCCAACCCGACCCCCAAAAAATAGAGAAAGTACAAAACTTTCCTATTCCAAAAAATGTGAGACAAATTAAAGGATTTTTGGGATTAGCATCGTACTATCGCAAATTTATCAAAGATTTCTCTAAAATTGCGAAACCACTAAACAACCTTACTAAGAAAGGAGTCGAATATAATTGGAGCAATGAATGTAAAGATTCCTTTGAAATCTTAAAAGAAAAATTGACACAAGCTCCAATACTTGAATATCCAGACTTCAATAAGATGTTCTATTTATTTACTAATGCCTCTGGAATTGAACTTGGAGCAGTACTTGCACAAAAAGATGATCAAGGAAAAGAAAAAATAATTGCTTATGCAAGTAGAACTTTGAATGAACATAAGCAAAATTATGATGCACAAGAATTAGAATGCCTAGCGATTATTTGGGCAGTCGAATATTTCCATCACTTTACTTCACTTAAAACTTTTATTTTGATAACTGATAACGTTGCTTTGAAATGGTTACAAACTTCTACTGTGAAAAACAGAACGAAAAGAGCAAGATAGTCATTAAATTTACAACAATATACATTTCAAGTTCAGCATTGATCTGGAAAAAATAATGCAAACACTGACGTATTATCAAGAATCAATTATGAAAATGATGAAAGCTCAGATGAAGTAATCGAATGCTTCACACTCTCAATTGCTAGTGAAGAAAATTTTGCAGATACAGAAAGAGAAATCCAAGGGAATATTTCATCACTTGAATATGAAGAAGACTTAGAAGAAAATAATCAATGGATTCAAGTACATTTTTCTGCATTAGATGTTCCTGGATGTAAAACAAAATAGTAATAGAATGTATTGCATAATAACAAAAAGTATTGAAAAAACAGCTACTGTTGCAATGAAAATGACCATCATTCTCATTAATATTGCACTGAATGCTATCAATGTGCCAATCCATATGAAAACTACATATCCTCACCAACAGAACAAACTATTTGTCATTGTAATGAGCATGAATATTATGAATATTTAAATATGACAGCTTATGAAGAGGAAGCAGAAAATGAAACAATCACCTATACAATTAGAAGATAATAGTGGATCAGAATTCAACTTCAGCGAAGAAGAAATGGAATCAATTCTTAATGGAAAAGGACAAGATTGGAGACAGGACTTGCATGATATTTTCTTAAAAGTTGCTGAATTTAGGCAAACTACTATCAAACGAATGAATGGTAGCAAACTTGAAGAATTTGCTCAAGAGTATTCTGTTAATTGTACCCTTTGTGGAACAATTATTATCACCGAATTAGATCATGAATGTATTTTTGGTTATAATCTAAGACAAATACACCTGAAATAGTACCCGAAACTTTAATTAATGAAGTATTTTGAGATATACCCGAAAAGGTACAACAAGATGATGAAGCACGTCTTGCAGCAGTTGAATTGTTAGAACCAATTAAGAATCCTCAAACATGTGATTGGACTGAGAATGAATTAGATGAAATGTTTGGACTGTTCGCACCTATTATTACCCTTATTTACTCATCCAACTTTGATGAAACTCGTAGTAAAGTTAGCACCCTAGATTATTAGTTTTATTATTTATTTTAACATTTATTTTAGTTTTAAAATAGTCAATTTCAATATTATTTATATATTTTATTTTTTATTTTTAAAGAGTTAACACCTATTTGAATAGTAATTAGTGAGTCAAAGTCTCAATGTTTGAAAAATTTAACTAAGTAAAAGCAAAAGTGTCAACAATGTGATTGACAGCTTAAGTTAAACAAAATGGAAGAAAATCGATATAACCAGTTGAAAGAATACTTAACTATTTCAATATTACCAAATGATAAAAAATTAGCAAATCAGATTTAACGACAATCAAAACATTTTGTGATTTTGGAAAATCAATTATTTAAGAAAGACAAGAAAAACAAAGGAAACTTTCTTAAAGTTCTGAAAATTCATGAAATAGAAACAGTTCTCTATGCGACACACAATCACCCAACTGGAGGACATTTAGGAATTGAAAAAGTCTTTGAAAAAATTAGAGAAAACTATCATTGGCCGCAAATGTTCGAAGACATTAGGAATTATATTAAAGGATGTAACTCTTGTCAAAGAAGAGGGAAGCCTTCAAAGAAAACATTATTACATCCTATACCAGTTGGAAAACCTTTTGAGAAAATCGGAATAGATTTCGTAGGACCTTTACCACTTATGAATAATGGAAACAAATATATAATCGTAGCAACCGATTATTTGACCAAATGGCCTGAAGTGAATGCGAAACCTGCAGCTGATGCAAACACAGTTGTAGAATTTATTTATGAAAACATAATATGTCGACATGGATGTCCAAAATATATACTTTATGATTGAGGATCACATTTTCAAAACAAAGTAGTAGACAGATTAATGAATAAGTTTGAAATCAAGCATTTATTATCTATACTCTATCATTCTCAAACTAATGGATTAGTTGAGAGATTTAACAAAACCTTGTGTGAATCTATAACAAAGGCAACAAAAGATTTACAAGAATAGGATACTATCATAAATTCAGTATTATTTGCTTATCAAACTGCGAAAAATTCTACTACCAAGTATACACCATTTTATTTGACTTATGGAAGAGAAGCAAGACTTCCAATCACCATTCTTGAAAATGAAACTTTGGAATCAAATTTAGAAGATTTAGAAATAAATCGACAGAAAGCAAAAGATAATGTCACAAAA